GCAACGAATTTGTATTACAGTTGATGAAACAAATGGTGTTTGTAGCAGAGCAGCTGTAAATATCCTTTTTAGTTTTAAAAATAGTTACAACAATACATCTCAAAAAAGTTGACAGTTCTACTATTTCACAATTAGCCATGATGATTCTTCAATATTCCTTATGAAGATGTTATTTCTTATATTTCTGATAATGAACTTTTTTTTTAAACATGCATCATAATACTTGTTTCACATATATTTATAATTTAGTTGGAGGTTATTGGCTAGATTATTTTCAATTTAATTATTAGATAATATTATATCATTTATTAAAGCTTCTTTTACGCATTGTTTAACGCGTAAATATAGGTTGGGTTAACCATCTTTCTTATAATGTCATTTCAATCTATCATTTTCTTTAAGAAAATTCAACTACTAAAATAACTTTACCATCCTTAAATCTAGATAGAATTTATGGTTTAAATTTGTTTTTTGTATTATTCAACATATTCTTTACTAATTACTTTTTACCAAGAAGAATCACAGTAGTAATGTAATTAAGAATTGGCTCCAATTTTTCGTGATGATAAATCAACATTTTAGAATAAATGGTTTGATTCTTTATCAGCTATATCTGTTGGATTAAACCTTTCACTTAGAAAAGCTTTTAATGATGCGCGATTTGTTCCAATCATCACATCTCGATATTGCCTTGTAACCAATTTAGAAACTCAACAAATGGTGGTATTTCAATTTTATTAAATATTTGAGGGACTTGGAATTTTTTCGGTGTGCTAGGTTTATTCATCACTTTATAAAATGTGACAAATAAGCAGTAATCAATTATATTTAGGTAAATTAGTGGATTCAAAATTGTCGATCATTGCTAAAATTCACATGATTTTTAAAACAACGATAATCTCTTTGTATTGTAAATTTACCAGATATGGTAATCGTTATATAGCATTGTTTTGAGACCTTTATTAAGTGTAACAATCATTGTGCACAAATTAGTATAATTTCTTTCTAACAAGTAACTTTTTTTTTCATACGCGATTACAAATGACTAAAAAATTTTACCTACTGCAAAATTTGCAAAGAGAAAAACACGGGTGTAAAATGGTGTCAAAGCTGCAACGCTAAACGTTTAGAAGCCGAATTTCCGAATTGGACGAGTGATAAAGAACTTGATATTGTTTCTTAGAGAAACACAGCTTACTGCAAGGTGCTGGCAGGAAGTATTCGAGTGGATTCCTTATGCAAATATTACTGAAGTTGAGGAGGTCGGAAGAGGTGGCTACGGAATCGTTTACAAATCAAAATGGGAGGGAGGATGTATCATAAAGTGGATATCTAAGGAAAAAAGTGGGAGCGTTGGGGAACTGAATACGTTGCTTTGAAAAGTCTCAATGGGAATTTAGCGATTTATGCATGAAGTAAGCGAACTTTTATTACTAATATGTTTCGTGTTTACTTGGGATTATAGTTAATTGGGATTTCTATTTTCATTCCTGAGTATGATATACTTCAGAAAATTTTAACGACAAGCTAACGAAATAACTAAAGAAACGTTCCTTTGTAATGTTATATCCAGAATTCAAAAGAAATATATCATTCATGAACTTCGATTAATTCTTAGTTAAAAATACTCCACCAATGTATGAAGTTCAACCGTAACGGCTTTGAGTGCTATGGAGTTACACAAGATCCCAATACCAAGAAGTATATGATTGTTACAGATTTTTACAAAGAAGGC